GAAAATTAATGACTCAACTTCAAAGTCACCCTGTATATCTTGTGTCCACAATTTGCACATAAACATACAACAACATTTTTTTTATGTTTCAACTACCACGAAGGCCTAAGGCCTAAACACCCATTGGGTATCGGGGGGCTATAAGGGGATACAGGGGAAAGGGGGAACGCCACACGGACTCTGGCGAGGGAACACGTGTGCATGCAACATGCACACATTCTGGCTCCGCCTACGAGATCCGCCGGGTGGTACCTCCGCGTTCGACAGAAACCGTCTACCACCTACGGACAATCACAACATCCATAGCCAAGAGAAAAATTTCTTCTGGGACGGAATTCGAACCCGCTCAGCGCACGGCGACTGATCAGGAGACCGAAGAGTCTACTACTGCGGCCACCGCTGCTGCCTAGTACTGCTTAGATTTTGATAAAATGTTCACACTGATAGAGAAATAGAGGGATATATAGGGAAAAGGAGAGAGATAAGTAGAGAAGATGCAGAAGTAGATATAAAGGTAGAGCTAGATGTAGTGCTCTTGTAGAGTTGGATATAGAGGTAGATGTTGATGTAGAGGTGTACGTGCAAGTACAAACAAAACAGGACTGGTGGTGTTTATGTTTTATGTAAATTTGTATTTTCAAGAATTGTTATAAAATGTTTAATCATATATATCTTGTGTCCACGATTTGCACATAAGCATACAACAACATTATTTATATTGTATATTTCCATGAGTATGAATAGTGTGTGTCTAGGTATTTTGGGGTAGCATCAAGAGTATATTTTCGTATAAAATTACAGTGAAAATACATAATAATAAAAATAATCCATGTTGAATGCATTCTTTGTTATAAAGAACTTTACCTTCTTTAGGATGAATATGGTAAAACAACTAAAAAAATATATTTTTGTATAAATTTATTATAGGCTCCTACAAACTTGTAATTTTATAATACCTGACAATAATTGACAGAGATACTGTTTGTAATCTATAATTTATCAATCAGTAAAATCATAACAGTACCAGTTATTATTACAATATAATATTTTACCTATTACATTAATACTGGCAAGTCGATATACAGGGTTGGTCCGGAAAGTAATAGAACTTATTTTCTTCCGCCATGACTGTACTTCGGAGCGTGCGCACATCGACTGGATTCGGCAGAGTGCGTTCCTAGCTAAGGAACGAGCGGCTGGTCAGTTGTTTCCGAGCACTTGGAGAGTCAGGACAGGCATTTTCGCGCGACGTGTTTCTGTGAGTGGTGCAAGCCGAAAACGCAGCGTTCGTTAGAGCAGAGGTACGCGATTAAATTCTGTGTGAAACTCGGTAAATCTGGGACAGAGACGTTTGATATTATCAAGCAGACTTACCCAGGTGTTGCTTTAGCAAGAAGTGGTGTGTTTCAGTGGCACCAGGCCTTTGTGGATTGCCGGGAAGAGGTCGCTGATGAAGACCGTGCTGGAAGACCTTCGACTTCGACAAACACCGATAATGTGACTGGCCTGCGCAAAGTTTTGAACTCAGACCGTTGACTAAGTATTCGTTTAATGGCCCAGATATTAAATTTACCAAAATCTGTGGTTCATGACATTGTGACACAGCATTTGAACATGCGCAAGGTGTGCGCGAAGATGGTCCCAAAAGTGTTCACTGACGACCAGAAATTGCGGCGAGTGGAAGTGTGCCAAGAAAATCTGAACATGTGTGAAAGTGACCCCCAATTTTTGAATAACGTGATCACAGGTGACTAGTCGTGGATCTTTGAGTATGATACTCCGAGTGGCACACGCCCTAAAAAAGGAAGAATGTGCAAATCCAAAGTGAAAACGATGCTCATTGTCTTTTCTGACATCAAAGGCATCGTTCAACATGAATTTGTTCCTCCTGGAAACCGTCAACGCCAAGTTTTACGTGGAAGTGCTCAGGAGACTCAAATGAAGGGTCAGTCGGGTCCGACAAGACGTCGCAGCCGACTGGAAGTTGCACCACGACAACGCCCCGGCTCACACCGCCTTTCTTGTGAACAGCTACCTGACCAAGGCCGGCATCCCAACGCTTCCGCAGCCGCCCTACAGTCCAGATGTGCCCCCCCAGACTTTTTTTTGTTTCCTCGCCTGAAAAGGCCGATAAAAGTCAAGCATTTTGAGACGACAGAGGGGATCCAAGCAGCATGCACCGCGGCTCTCAAGGCTATTCCGGAGAATACCTTCCGTGACGCCTTCAATCCTTGGAAATCGCGCTGGCAGCGCTGCATCGAACGCAGAAAGAGCCTATTTTGAAAGTTTTTAAAGAATTGTAACGATTGGCTCAATGAAGCAATACGGTTTAAATCCAGAACAAATTTACAACTGCGACGAAACGGGCCTAAACTATAAAATGTTGCTGGCGGAAAATTTAGCTTCAAAAAATAATCTGGAGCTCCTGGTTACAATCGCAGTAAAGAACGTGTGACTATCCTTGCTTATAGCAATGCTTCCGGTACACACAAACTTCCTTTGCTGCTAATCCAAAAATTAACTAAACCAAGCATTTAAACACTTCCGTCCCAATGCTCTTCCAGTGTAGTATAAAAATAAAAAAAATATCTGGATGGATGCCGCTCTATTTGAGGACTGGTTTTACAATCATTTTGTTCCCAAGACAGACCGATATTTGAACGAACGCGGATATCCGAGAAAATGTATTTTGCTATTAGACAATGCTCCGAGACACCCAAGTGAGGAGCAACTTAAAAGTGGAGAAATACGAATGATCTTTTTTCCTCCTAATGTAACGTCACTGATTCAGCCAAAATTTAAAACGCAATTACAGACGTTTGTTATTAGAACAAATTTTAGATCAAGTTGTTAATGGTTGTAAACTCGTTGATTGTTTAAAAGAGATTAACCTCAAGAATGTGGCATATTGGATAGCACAAGCATGGAGTCCAGTAAAAAGTTCTACTTCACAAAAATCTTACTCAAGGACATGCTGGTGAGTGGATTAACCCTTAGCTACAGAGGTCACGTTTGTAGGAGTTAACCACAGACTACCGGTCATTTTGACAGGTTGTCTTTTTTTGAGTATACATGAACAACAAAATCTTTATTTTTTTTGCAGCAAGCGGATTAACTCTTAGATCTTTCTAATTAGCATTTGATCTAGTTTTAACTATATTTGAATGAAATAAGATTAGAGTATGGAAAAAAATATTTTATTGCTATATTTTTGTTCAAATGTAACAGAGTCATAAATAAAAATAAAATAAAAACGTATACAACACTTTTTCGTACACAAAAAATTGAAATAAACTATTCTAAATAAAATAACATCAAAGCATAACTAAAAACATTCTATATAAAAATATCTGCAAAGGGTAAGCTATAAGCATATTTAGATGGAACATTCTTTGCAAATTCTCCTAGTACATGCCATGCATATTGGAGATTTACACATTATATAAACATGGAATCTTTTTCTCTCCTTCTTCGAGAGACAACGTCTACAAGTCGTTCTTGTATTCAGTTTATCACCTTCCATAGCATGTTCTTCTTGTTCCAATTGTAGTATGCGTCTTATAGACATTTTCATTTCACGACCAATACGCACATTTTGATATCGGCGTTGCTTACGTGGAGCTACCAAAAGCATTGCTAACTGTTTTCCAAAATGATAGCGGTTCATTTCTGGATTATCTCGGTATGACTCATGTAGAATATATGAATTTACAGACGCATATATCTACCAATCTGAAAAAATGGCCATGGGCCATCTGCGAGTTCTACGACTTGAAGAATAAAGACTGCACTTTTGGTCCAGACTTTCCACTCCACCTTTAGTAATGTTGTAAAAACCGATAATTTCTGGCTTACCAGTCTCATCACCGGTATTTTTATTGTGGTACATGGAAGAGATCATTATTACTGCTCTATTTTTGTTAGGTACAAAAGATAACAGTGGTAAATCCCTCTTTTTCTATTTGGCAAAAATGTAGGAGGAATCTCACCCTTTATTTTTTTTAAGTGTTCCGACAAAAGTTAGATTTTCAGTTTTCAGAAAATTTACCAGCTCTTTTGAGGAAAACCAGTTATCGGCTGTAATACTTCTGTTTGTGTTATAAATAGGTTTGGCAAGTCTGAGTACCGCCTGAGTGGGTTTACAGAATTTTCGTTTCTCATCTGTTAACAGATAGCCATCAGAATTCTTTCCAGAATATATATAAGCATTCAAGAGGTATCCAATTCTGGCATCCGTTAGACACATAACTTTTAGACCATACTTGCAGGGTTTGCCTGGCATGAACATTTTAAACTTGCATCGACCGCGAAATACAACGAGCATTTCGTCAATACAAGCACATGTTCCTATACTGTAAGCCTTTTGGCAATTTGTTACAAAATTATTAAATATTTCGGAAATAGCTGCTAATCGATCTTGATTTCTACGCTCTTTCCTAGTTTCGGCATCATCGAATCTCAAACAAGAAAGAATTATTGCCAATCGGTTCACATTCATCACGCATCGGAAAATTTCTCGTCCAGAGCCATCTGTGGTGGAAAGGGATCTTATGTCCTCATGGTTGGATTCAAAAATTGACGTAAAAATTAGCAATCCTAGAAAAGCTTTAAGTTCCATAAGATCCAAATCACGAATATCGAAGTTTTGTGCTGCAGTTTTGTATTTTTGACGCATTTTCATCTCTTGCATTGGTGGATTGAAGAATGACATTCAGAATTTGCTCATTGAATAAGAGACTCCAAACTTGCTCAGAATCAGTGCTCTAGATGTCATTTCTTTTAAGTCCCGGGCATTTAACAACAATGTTGTGTTGTAACGTGCGTGTATTCTTGGGAACTGGAGATTCCTTTCACCATTTAAAGCGATTCTTACTGTAAACGTAGTTGCCACTGGGAACATTTTCTAGATTTACAATTTCACCTAGATTTTCGTTGTCCTCTTCGTCGAATTCAACTTCCGACTCAGTGTCTTGATCCGGTGGTATATAGTCGCCATCTGATTATATATCACTTCCACCAGAATTGACTTCCTCTGCCCGTTTCAGTAAACTAGCTTCAAAATCAGCATCTCCATATTTTACTCTCTTTGAGGGCCCAGGTTTAGAATCGATACCCAATTTATAAGGCTAAAAACATCAGAAAAATAATAATTCAACATATTTACCGATTGCGAACTTTGAACTACGATATTTCGCTTGCTACGAGAAATACAGTCTCCATCCACCGGCTAATAGCATCAAACTAAGTGTTACGAAGGTACGTAGAAGCTCATAAGCGATAGTGGTGGGGATGCGATGAATTTCAGCAGTTGAAACTTGCAGCCGGTCATTTTGACCGGATGTCTGTGGTTAAGGGTTAATGGTGGTGAATTTGTGGAACAATTAACTGATACAGAACTACGTATAATAAAGACTGTTTGTAACAATGACGATGAGACAGTTTTAAGTGATGCTAGTGACAATGAGAGAAATATCTGCCAATATATTACATTCTGTAAGTAATTAGAAGCTGTACAAAACGCCTTGTCTCACGGCGAACAACAAGAAAATGCGACAGCAGCCGATGTGCTACCAAACATTGGAGGGATATTGCTGCCAAAAATAGGAACAATACAAAACGTGTACAGTTAAAAATTACTTCATTTATTACTAAATACTCGTAAATATGTATCATTGTATCCACATGTGTATATTTTACTTAACTTTATATAGGTATATCCGTCAGATGAGCTGGCAACAGCGCAATCCAGGTGACAAGAACAATAAGGTCAGCTGCCAAAATTTATGTCTAGCCGGGACCGACGGAGCCATTTCGAACGTCAAAGCATCAATTATCCGACTTTCATTTGCATTGTTTTAAGTGTTGTGCAACGATTTTAGAAAAAAAATTGGTATGGATAGTCTTGTAGACCGTAGTAGAATATATTTCAACTAAAGGGCAATATTATAAAATAAATTGTTTACGTTCCCTAAATATACCTGTCTGTAGCATATTTTCTCACCTGTTACTTGTAAAGTACGTCACCAACCAGGGGTTTTATTTTCTTACCACCCTCATTTTGGAAATGTAGTTTCCTGAATAAGTAAGAAAAATTAGATGCGCAACTAATTTCTAGCTTTGCAGTAAGTACATTTGAGACAAGAAACCAATGGAATTATCATCAACACATAAATCCTCACTATGCATCTATGCACTGCTTAGATCTCAAATAACGCCATCTCTGAAGCAGATGTTACATCACATCAGAGCCAAACATTGATAACTGAAACATCATGACGCTTAGGCAACAAACATACAGTCCACATCAAGTGAGTAACAAGTTGATATCTTGTAGAAAAGCCTACATAATGTCAAAAACACCGACAAAATGTCTCTTTTCAAGATATGAACGTAATGAGAATGAGTAAACTAGTATTATAGCTTTCGGTGGTAAACCGCCTGTCAAATGCGAACTGGAATACAGTTCCAACAGACAGTTTGCTGTTTCACCCTTGCAGTGGTCGATTGCGGTAATAGATAGCGCATCGTGCTATCTTATCTCGATAGACCTTATATCCTGGATAGACGAAAGTGGTGCAGTTGTCGTTCGTCATCCTACCTGCGACCAAGCCTTGACCATGCTGATGAGTTGCTAAAAAGCACAAATTATCTACCAATGGTTGGCTGTCTGTGGCCGGACGGAAAAAAGCCATCTTACTAGTTTGCTTTAATGGTGAGTAATATGTATCTACTATGTCGACGGCATCTAGCGACCACAGTAGCGACCCGCAGGGGTATTACGTATCTTGGAAAGTGACATTATGCCGGTTTTTTGTGATATTATCAAGGTTTTTCTACGAGATGTCAACTTGAAACTATCTGTTGTTTATTTGATGTGCACTCGTTCTGTAGCGTACGTATAACCTAAACATCATGACGCTTCAGCTATCTGATGTGATGTAGCATCTTCAGAAATGGCATTATTGAAGGTCTGAGCTGTAAATTGTATATCATAGTTGGAAGGAAACTGCATCGCATAAGTGCATAGTGAGGATTTGTGTGCTAACAGTTTCTTGCCTTCATCCTTGTTTACACATTTTGGAAATTACATATACAAAATTGCTGATTTTCAAAAATGAGATAGTTATATAAGAAAAGAAAATCCCTGATTAGTGAAGTATATCACAACTAAGAGGTAAGGAAATAGGCTGCAGACAGGAATATTTAGGTCACGTGAAACGGTTATTACAATTTACATTATTTTCTTTTTCCAGTTATTTAAATTGCATAGAAATTTATTTTGCGATATCAAAGCAGAAAAAACAAATCAGCAGCATTGCGAAAATGATATGTGTGTGTTGCGCCATTCCTAATTTTTCTGTGATGTTTCTTAATCACACACAACGCGGGCGCGATGATGATTTCCTCTAGTGCTTCTCAACAAAAAACGGGGAGAATTATGATTTATAATTTTGAACATAACCTCTCTCCAGAAAGGACAACACAAAGAACCCGTCTGGCATAGCTAAAAGATATACTTCACGGGCAGCATATTCAGTAATATTTTGCTTACATGTTAAGTACCCACTGATTTTATACACATGCAGACCAATACACACAATCACCATATAACCATCCAGATGTGATCTTGCTACTTAACCAATTTGGAATCTTCTTTCAGTCATATCTTCTCATATTTATACTCTACAGACTATCATCGCATTCTGCAACCAACAAAGCATGTCGGGGAACTGACTTTAGTGTGTTGTGTCGCTAAGTCTCCATAAATGACGCTTTTGATGTCGCTTACAGTACCCATAGCGAGCAAACGCGAAATGAAGTATTTGCAAACTAGGAACCATCTAGTCAGCAAGTTGACATTTTGTCTATTTTTGACATTATATTTTTTATGTAACAACCCTGCCAGCTGTCAAATGCAAACTTAGATCATATCCAACAGACAGCTTATTGTTTCACTCTTCTCGATTATGGAATAAATGGCACTTCGTGCTGTCTTACCTGGATACATGAATAAAGTTATATAGTAAGTCCGGTTCTCATCGGTTCGGCAACAACTGTAATTACAATGTCTAAGGCCCGTATCGTCAGTCGTCCCTACAATTGTAGGGTGCGTTTATGGCCTCCTTGATTGTCATACTCTTTTCTCTCCTTCAAAAATTTCTAGATTACACTCGTCCCGTGTCAGCGTCAGCGCTCTCCTATTGTTAAGATATCTTTTCCTTTTAAATTGTAGGAAATTTCAGACTGATAAAACATGATATAACTCAGAAGCAAGCGCAGTTTGATGCAAATTGTTATATCATGTTTTATCAGCCTGAAATTTCCTACAGTTTAAAAGGAAAACAAATCTTCACAATAGGAGAGCGCTGACGCTGACACGGGACAAGTGTAATCTAGAAATTTTTGAAGGAGAGAAAGGAGTATGACAATCAAGGAGGCCATAAACGAGCCCTACAATTCTAGGGTCGACTGACGATACGGGCCTAAAGCTTAGTTACTCCAGAAAAACGGTAGGCCTTGTAATCATCAGATAGTCTTTTGTTTCATATATGAAATTTAACAGAGTTTGGAAAACTGAGAAAAAGTGAAATGAATCCAGCAGTGAACAATGTACAGAGGGCTTTGCATACAAGATAATGGATAATATTTTGAACATCCACTATTACCTCTGCTTATTGTCGTTATTGCCATCAATAAAATTATATTTTTTTGTCCAGGTTTCGCCGTACCTTTTATTTACTTATACTTTCTATTCCAACAACAGATTCATGGTAATACTTAAGTGAATTTAGAACTGAAAAGTCCATTTAAATGTACAAAATTGAAATATAGCGACGATATGAGAAAACAGGAGGAAGTCCCTAGAAAAAAATTCGAATTGAAAATTTACCAAATCATCTTGTAGAGGAGAATAAGTGGCAATAGCAACATGCAATTTATTCTGAAATCTCATCTCAAGTGAGGTCAAGATTTTGGAATAAGAAAACGAGAATCTGATAATTTCTTGACCTATCTAGGAAATTCCGCTTTTTTGAAGTGAATTAGGTTTGGAAATGTCAATGTATAACACGTCATACAATTTTTAAATCAGAATTTAATACTCTATTGATCGGTGCAAGAATCCAGTATGACGTCCATAATAAAAAATAATGTTGAAGCTGGAGAAAAAGGGACGAAACGTCATATTGAAATTCTACTTATGCCATCTTATAGAGGAGAAAACGTAGCATTGTTTTTTCAATTTATTTTGAAATCCCACTGCAAATAAGGTTAGGAAAAAATTGAAACGATTTCGAGAAAATTTAGTTTTTTTCGTCTCTCTTCGGAAGTAGTTTGAATTTCGATACCTTCTAAGTAAACTTTTTTTAACCACCTAAACACCCAACTTTGCCGGCTATCTAAGCGACTTACAGTTTCCGGGATCTCAATGGTGAGGGTATAATTTAAAACGTATACTAAATACTCAACAAAAATTTTCCTCAGAAACAACCAGTTTATCATTTGCCTTCACATTAGCGAACAAAAAAGTTACTTGAACTTATTTTTCATCCTACCTCCCATAAATATACTATATTTGCTCCTCTGTTCAATTTAAAACCCCGTGTTTGTTTTTTGAGCTTCATTCTCCGTATTTTTGTCTGCACTCCCACTTAACCATGCTTTCAGCCTAAGGAAAGGCTCGAGGCTAGAGAAACGTGATATAGAAATACCCACTGCTTCTGTAACCAAGAAACTCCACCTTGAAATTTTAAGGCGTGCATCGCTCGGTGGTATAACATTGTATGCTTTCCCAAGTTATCCATAGCTGGTAACTCTCAATGTTTAAGAAACAGACTCTCCCTCTCTCTCTCATGTGTTCTGGTCATTAAATTAGACCTAGATGGCCTAAAAGTTAATGAATTGTTGATGGAATCGTGATTATATTTAACAACCAGAAAAAGACGGAGATTATGGAATATGCATAATTTTCTTATTTCTCACGCGAAAATAAGGTATGTTTCTGAATGTTGTGTGACATTTACATCAAGAAAAACTATATAACCCATTTTCGTGGGTCTGTCTGTGGGACTGTCTGTCGGTCTGTGTGTAGTAGTAGTAGTATTATCAGTGGTGGGTTGGCGAAGCC